CTGCCAAGCCATCCACTAACACAGCGAGGGACTGGGCCGGGCATGGCCATCTCGATGTCTTTGCGCTTGCCCCATTTGCCCCCACACCTGGCAGGGCCCCTCAGCGTCCTGCCCTGCAGAGAAGGATAATGTTACAGGAAAGGGCTGAAAGGAGGGCAGGGGCTGTCAGGGCAGGGCCCCAGAGGTCTAATTAGGAGTGATGGGCTGAAATAAAGGAGAGACACCCCCCCCCTTTGTCTGCCCCCCCCCCCCCCCGCGAGAGAGCCGGGGCAGAAGCTGCCATTGGTGGCATAGGGAGCACTAGGGCTCTGCTGCCAGGGTTGTGCTAGAGGCAAAGCCAGGCTCTGGGACACCCCCTCCTTCCGCAGCAGTGCTGTCCTGGGGCAGCAACCCCTGCTGCTCTCCCAGGGGCTGGGGCACCTCCTATAGGGAGCACTCAGCCCGAACTGACTGGGGCCAAACACCAGGGCCAGGGGGCTTCCCCCACCCATGGCTCTGCCCTGGGCAGGAGGAGCTGCTGGATCCCCCTAATCACCTGCCCTCAGGGCCCAGAATCCCCAAGCAGCCAGACACCATTCCTGTCTTTCTGGGGGCAGCAAGGGCTGGCCTGGGCCAGCAGAACCCAGGCCCAAGAGCTGCTGACGCTGCTTCTGGTCAGAGCTGGGGGCCCCACAGCGAGTCCCTCCCTTCCCCTGCCCCCCTGCCCATCCGCACACTCTGCTGCCCACTTGGTCACTGTCTGGCTCCTCCCCCATTCCCTGCTTGTAACACTTCTGCTACTCACTAACCCCTGGTAACACCCCCCACCCCTGACTATGTGGGGAGAACACAAGATGGGGCTGTGGGACACACTAACCTTGCTGCCCCCTGCCCCTCACGGCTGGCCTGAGCAGCCCTCCTGTCATCTGACACCTCCATTGGGCCAGCTGGATGGCATGTTAGCAGCAGGGGCTGCTCTGGGTCAGTGGGGGGAGCTGTGGCAGCATTCTGCCCTTACACTTGCGTGGTGGTGGTTGGGAGCTCTGGGTGGAGGAGAGGGCCTGCTGTGGGGGTGGGTGGGGGTGTGGTGAGGCTGGGGCTGAGGCAGACAAGGGGCAATGTTCTGTCCTTGCGCTCAGGTGGTGGTGGTTGGAGGCTCTTGGGGGAGGCAGGTGGAGGGGGGTGCGTGTGGCGGGGCTGGGGCGGACAAGGGGTAGCGTTCTGTCCTTGCAATAGGATGGTGGTGGTTGGGGGCTCCCAGGAGAGGTAGGTGGGGGGTGCTGCTGGTTCAAACTCAGTCTCTGCCCTTGGTCCTCATCTTATGCCTTGTCTGTCACAGGCGCCTGATCTCACCTGGGACATTGATCCATCCATGTCTGTCCACGGGGCGCTTGGCAGCTGTAACTGCCTGGCTCTCTCACTGCCTGCTTGTCTGTCCTAACGCCAACTAACCCCCACTCACCCCTAACTCACTGAGCCCGAGGGACAGGGACAGGGAGATGGGTCAGGGAGGGGCAGGGCTGGCTCTGCTGTGTCTCTGTGTGAGTGCTCTCTTCCAGGGGAGGTGCCAGGGGAAGGCCTCCTCCCTACCAGGATCCTGCTGTCCTACCCAGGGGTCCTCAGCTGGCATCCAGAGCCAACAGCCGAAGCCCTTCCCCCGAAGCCCATGGAATGGGGCCTCTGCCTCCTGCAGTGATTGGGGACTCCCTGCACCACCATCTCAGCATGTGCCTCAATCTCTCCTGGATCAGCAGTGTCCAGCCTGTGCTGCAGCCTCCGGCCCTGGACAGTCCTGTCCAGGCGTCTGTGCCCTGGGCTTGCCCTACTCGCCCTTTGTCCCATGTTCTGGCCATGCTGCCTGGGTTTCTCCAAGGTTACAGGAGGGCACTCGGCTGGGCTTCCGGCTCTGAGCCCTGGCAGCCCATTGCCGGGGGAGCTCGGCCCAACCCCACTGCCTTTGGCCCTGCCATTGCAGCAGGGCACTCCTATCACCGATCCGGTCTGGTGCACCCTGCCAGCTCCCCACCAGGCTGCTGTGAGGGCACCTAGCTGCTGGATCCCCAGGGTCTGAGCCCTCAGCTTGGGCTCCTTTAGGCATACCCTTGGGGTGCACCCATCTATCTAGCCCCTTCTCCTGAGCGTACTGTGACTACATAGCTTCTCACCAGCCCCGAGCTCAATGCTGACCCCTCAGATTCCCCAGTAACTTAAATGCCTTCTCCCAAGCCCCTCTGAAAAGGTGAGCTGCTGCGTCCCCTCTTCCAGGGCCCTGGGCTAGGTGTAGCATAGGTGCACAGCCATGTGACACAAGTGCTCTTTACCTAAGTATGAGAAACACACCCTGAGGGTACAGATCCTATAGAAAACACCACCCTCCTGAGCACAGGGCCACTCACTTGCTCCCGCGTCCCAGGCAGTCCTTGAGGGCACCAGAGAGGCGGGGGTCCCCTCTCCGAATCTGGCTCCCTCAGCAGCTTCCCTTACCTTGAGCTGTTGAAAAAGGGCCAGAGACCTGCGGAGGCTGACCAGGGAGCAGAACCTCCGGTAAAGCTGCTTCCAGCCCCTGCCAGGCAACTCCTTGGTCAGCCTCCGCAGGTGACCAGAATCCTCCCTCGTGGTGTTGCCAAGCAAACCATTTTCTGGGGCATAGGGGGTGGGGGAGCCAGTGTCTTGGCTAGGTGTGATCCATCCCAGTTAACGACCCTCTGTGGTCAGCCCTGCACCACTGCCCTGCTGGAATGTCAGCCCAACAGGCAGTGAAGAGCTCTGACTAAGGTGGAGGCTGCAGGCTGAGGCAAAGTCGTGCAAAGAGCTCCTGACAGCCAACTGAATTCATAGTCTGCACAGCCTCATTCCCTAGCTGGCCTGGCCCCAGGGGTCCAGCAGCCCCTTGAGTGCTGGTCACAACATGCCCATGTGCCTGTTGCCAGGCAGCCTTCTGCCAGCAAGCACACAGCAGCGTCTCGTTGGGCCAGGGCCTGGCACTGCCCCATGGCAGAGAGAGCCAGCAAGGCGGGGTAGGTAGAATAGCCCAGCCCAGTTGTCAGTGTAGCCACCACTAGCTGGAGTGGGCTGAGGGGGATGGGTGTTCAGGGAATTGGTCCCTCCTCTGCTGGTGGGGGCAGGGGGGCGGACTTCCGGGTATGTCACAAGGGCCTGTCCCTCTATTAGGCTGGGGGTGGCAGGGGACACCTGTTCCCACACCCAGCCTGACTCCTAGCACAGACTGTGCCGATGTCTGTGCTGATGTGCCCTCTCCCCGCGAGGCTGGGGAGACCTCCGAGTACCCCTGCTCCAAAGCGGGCATCTGGATTTCTAAAGCTTCTGTCATGTCATTTCCTGTCTTCTCTCCGTCTGTGCTGTCCCCGTCCCCTGTGACTGTCTCCTCTCCCTCCAGCAGGCAGTGTGTGGCGCTACGTCAGAGCCAGTGCATCTTATCCCCCATACCTGCCTCCTCTCTGCGACCCCAAGGACAGCCACCTGCTTGTGGACGGCTGCTATGTTAACAATGTCCCAGGTCAGCATCATGCGCTCCTCGGGCCCTGGGCCACGGGGATGACCTGCGTGGCTTGGAAGGGAGGGCCAGGCTGGGCCGGGGTGGCAACTGGCTGCAACCCCTGCCCACCATACTCTGCCATGGCTGCCCCAAGTTGGGCTGCAGCCACTGCCTCCTTCCATGCCATAGCTCGTCCTTCCCTGGCGAGGGCTGGTTCTGACAGGCCTGAGGGCACAGGCTGGATCCCAGCACCCTGTCCAGACATGTGCTGCTCGAGCTGAGAAATCTGCACCTTGTTGGGGGAGGCGCTGGGAGTCAATCCAAGGCACCACCTGTTCCAGAGCAAGGGGCAAGGATGGGCCCCTACCCCCTGGCTGAGCTCTAGGCAGTTGGCTAGTGTCTTGCTGGCTCCAAGGGCCATGCCTATCGTCGCACTATGCAGATTCCCCAGCCTGGGTGCCAGGGGCGCCCTCCCTCCCCCAGGGCTCAGGGCCTGCAAGAGGCTGTCTCTTGACTGCGTCTGTTCCTGCCGGTTAGGCTCGCTGTGGCGGTATGTGCGAGCGAGCATGACCCTTTCCGGGTACCTGCCGCCACTCTGTGACCCCAAGGATGGCAACTTACTGATGGACGGTGGCTACATCAACAACCTGCCAGGCAAGTATCTGCCGCCGATGGAGACGCTGCTCACAGACCGCGAAGCAGGCCACTGAGGGAGGCACTGCTGCTGCCAGTGTTTTCTGCCCCCGTTGCCTGGCTCTGCCCTGGCACGCATCTCCATCGCCATCCCCACTGGTGTCTCCGCAGCACTAGAGCCCTCTTCCTCTTGCCCTTCTGTGGGTGCGGAGGAATGTTGTTGTTGTTAAAACCAGGAACTTGCCCGAAGTGTGGATCCTGCTCAGAGAGGGGGGCTTCCCTCCCATCACCCTGCGGGGCTGGTGCAGCACCTGGGCCCACGGCCAGCTGGGCAGACTCATGTTATATGTGGGGGGGGGGGGGAACAGCTCTTCCCCAATGACTGCTTTGCGTTCTTGCTGTCTGCTGTCCCCGGCATCCCAAGTGGGGAATGGGGGTGAGGGGGTCCCTGCTTTGCCTCCCCCTTGGAGTCAGGCTGAGGGCTGGACATTATGGAACTGCAGTGCTGGGCCCTGGCCTGGGTGAGGGCTTCTTAAACTGGAGCAAAGGCCACGAAAGAACCCCAGGCTGCTCCCCAGCTGGAACCGCACCCAGCTCTTTACCCGTGGAGAGAGTCAGCTTTTCCCTCAGCCCCGGCCCCACAAGCAGAGACGTGGGAGGCTTGTACCTGAGGCTCCAGAGCAAGGCCGGTGCAAGGAAGTTTCCCTAGGCACCCTAGGCGAAACTTCCACCTTGCGCCCCGCCCCAGCCCTGCAGCAGCTCCCGCCTCCGCCCTGAGGAGCCCCCCCGTGGCAGTTCCCCCTCCCCGGGGAGCCATGTGGCAGCTCCCCACCCAGCTCACCTCTGCTCTGCCTCCTCCCCGAGCACGCCGCCCCCGCTCTAATTCTCCTCCCCTCCCAGGCTTGCGGCCCCAAACAGCTGATTGGCGCCGCAAGCCTGGGAGGCGGGAGAAGTGGAGCGGCTGCTGCGCGGGGGGGGGGGGGGAACAGCTCTTCCCCAATGACTGCTTTGCGTTCTTGCTGTCTGCTGTCCCCGGCATCCCAAGTGGGGAATGGGGG